CTCCTCTATTTTCCTTCAAACCTCACTTGCTTGTGTCTTTTCTAACAGTAGTAAAATCATGAGATTTGTATTTCATTTCAGTTTTTAGTGTTGTCTTCTAAAATAGATCAGTTATGTAAGAGAGTAAGAAGAAAAGCCTATCTGTTTCCTAATTTGGAAAATGCTTATCACCATCCTTGCCTGCGTAGCCCTGCCCTCCCTCCACGCCACACGAGGAGACTTTTCCTGAGCTAGGTAAACTCCTACGAAAGAGTGAAAGAGTAACGTAGCATAGTGCTTTCCTTGAGTACCAGCCAGCTGAAGATGTGTCTTTGAACATTTTTTTTTTTGCTGTGGGTGAATTACTATTCATTTCTTCACATTCTTATCATTTAAAAAGACTAAATTTAAGCTTGAAGAGTCAAGCAAAATTATGTCCTCTTTCTGATTCATTTTAGTGGGTAAAATTCTAGTCTGCATTGAAAACAGTAAGCTCTTAACTGTAATGGAATCAGGACATACTCAGTAGCATGTCTGTACATAATGCACAGATGGAAGGGGCTTCAGAGACCTCCACTCACACCCCTCATGTTATGTACATGAGGACACAGATCGGAGGAGATGCTGGGTTAATTAAAGAAGCCCTACCGGAGAGAGAATCCAGAGACCTGGAATTTATAGTGAGTATACCTCTACACCAGTCAGGAAACCACCTGGCTTCCCTGAACGACATTTGTCGTCTGTAAAAGGAGGCAACTAGAACTATCAGGTGCTTCTGCCCCTGAAGCCGCCCTGGGGGGGGGTTGTTGGAACACAATGGGAGGAGGCAGAGAGTCTCCGGGGCTCGGGAACACAGCAACCTGACACCTGATGAGAATGTTCACAGCAGGAGGTTAACACCGGGACTGGAAGGGGAAGGCACCGGGAAGCACAGTTTGTTGGTGCACACCCAGCCCTGTCCGGAGGAGGGGGCACCCGTCTGTGGAGCGTGAACGTTTGCCGTCACTGGACAGGGATTCCCCCTTACCCACCCACCCCTGCAACACACCTCCTTGCCCCTACTGTAAATTTGTGAGAAGCTAGAGGAAAACCAAGGGGGGGGGGGTGATTATATAACTCGGGCATTTGTGGGGAAGTTTATATAAGATGCTAAAAATACAGTATATGATTGCTATAATGGTGTTCTAAGTGAAAAGTCCCAATGAGGACAACCTGAGTAGGTTAAATAGAGGTCACACTGAGTAGATGTCTAAACCCAGTTGCCTGTACTGACTCCTGTCTAACCAAGTACAGTTTACTACTCGTTATTAAAACATTCCCGGTCACCCCCGTGGGGAGCTGTCGAAGTGCTCAAGGAGCACCAGCCTTACCAGGGCCACCATGCTAAACCCTTCATTTCTAACATTCAAGAAGAATCTAGAAACACTAAGTGTGTAACCCATATTGTATTTTATTGGTAGTCAAATTGATGAAATGAATGTATGTCTCAATATCAGTCTGCTAAAAAGAAAGGCCCTGGCTGGTGTGGCTCAGTGGATTGAGGGCCAGCCTGTGAACCAAAGGGTCGCCGGTTCTATTCCCAGTCAGGGCACATGCCTGGGTTGCAGGCCAGGTCCCCAGGAGGGGATACACAAGAGGCAATCACACATTGATGTTTCTCCCTCCCTTCCCCTCTCTAAAAATAAATAAAATCTTTAAAAGAAAATAAATAGGCGTGTGAATAAATCCTATGTACTAGTTAAAGAATCCTGAGAACTAACTACATATGCACCCCCTGGTGTTTGCTCCCCCCTGGGCCCCACCCTTGGCATGTATTGTCATCTGATATTACATGTGTGTGTGTGTGTGTGTGTGTGTGTGTGTTTTACATTCTCTGTCCTCTAAGAGAACTGGGATCACCGCCCATCTTGTTCACTGATGGGTCTCTAGCACCTAGGGCACTGGGAAGACACAGCATCATCATTGTTGAATGAGTCACACTCAAATTAATGATATCACCTAATATTCTTTGTTCTTATTCGTGATAAAAATACATTATTGTTAACATACCAGGACAATTTATTTTCTTCATTTCTCCCCTCTTTCTCTCATACTTCCCATCTGGGCTACCGGCACATCCTTCAGGTTTTGCCTTCAGAATCCATCTAGAATCTGACCCCTTCTCGCTGTGTTCTCCATCCCCGCAACCCCCCGTCGCCACCCCCCCCCCCATCACGCCAGCCCAAGCCACCAGCCTCTCTCCTCATAAAATAATACAACCGGTTTTGTCATTCTTTAGGTCAAGAGAAGTAATTCTGCAATGGGCAGAATTATATTCAGCAAAATATACATATATGTACATTGGTATATATAAATCAAGAAAACAGTCTATCATAGGAAATATAGCTCTTATCATTTGAAAATTATAAAGCAATAATTTGGGTAGAATCTATATGATTACATTTGCTAGTTAGAAATGCTCGCTAAACTGAGAATATCAGAAAGCCTTTGAAGATTTGAGATTTGGTAGGATCCAAAAAATATTGGAGCCAAAAAATATTAGAGCCATTCTCAACTCCTCTCTTTCCCTCACACCTCACATACACCAGGCCAGAAATCCTGTGGGCTCTACTGTCATAACACACCCTGAATCTCGCCCCACCGCCATTCTCCCTCGCCACCACCAGGTCCAAGCAACTCTCACCACAACTACTGCGACGGCCTTCTGACTGGGCTCTGTTTCTGTCATTTACAGCCCCCCATTCTGTTATCAGCGAAGCAACCAGAGCAATCACCTTAAAACAGGAACAAGATGTTCTTTGAAACACAGCAGAAGCAAATCCATAGTCCTGACCTTGTCCCAGAAGCCAGTACTTGGTCTGGCTGACCCTCCAGCCTTTCCGATCTGATCTCCCGCCGGTCTCCCCACTCTCACTGCTCTCCAGGCACACCTGCCTCCTCGGGTCCCTGGTCCTCTTTGTTCTCCCGGCCTGAGATGCTCTGTGACAGGTGTCTTCAAGGCTGCCTTCCTCTCTGCCTTTTGACTTTTGTGCCAATGACATCTCCTATGGGGTGACACTTTCCTGTTCTCCCTCTCTCTCTTTCCTGTTATTTTTAGCATTTACCCCTAACGTACTGTATGTTTTACCTTATTTATTGTTTTTCTCTCGCAAAGAATATAAATTCTACAAGGGGAACTTTATGTAATAAACTACTTAATTCACTGTTGGATATTTAGTGCCTAAAACACATAGAGGCTCTCAATTTCAAAAATTGTTGCATGGAAGAGCGAGAAGGGGGCCTCAGCGCTGCACATGAAAACGTGTGCTTCGACGCTCACCTTCTGCTTGCGATGGTCACGGTCGCTCGGGCCACAGCTGGAAGGGAGAGTGAAGTCTGTGGAATGGAGGATGTGGAATAAAATCTCTAAGCTGGCTTCCTACAACATCACCTAATAATTGCCTTTAAGAAAAATCAGTAGAATTGTGTATCAGCTTACTTGAAAATGAATCACTAGTTCTAAAGAACAACACTGAGTGAGTTTACTCTTTTGGAAAGTTCATGTATGCACTGGCAATCCGGTGAACTCCCCATGCCCATCATATATAGCGGAAGCCCCACCACTGTCCCCCTCTCACGGGTTTTGTGTCATTTGTACATTCCCAAGATTATACACTTTGTTGGACTGTACCAGGTTTGGAGGATAAAGCAGTGTAATTGTTTGGTTCATTTTCAGCTCCTGCGTAGCTTTTAAGAATCTGACTTATTAATTAAATCATAAGGATTCAAGATTGCAATTCATAAAGTAATGAGTGATGTGGATAAAGTGACTACTTGTAATAATTTCATTCGAAAGACTGGAGTAAGTTAGTGGGGTGGGGAGGGCCTTTGAGCTGGTAAAGGAGATCGAGTATGCTAAGTAAGGAGACACCTGTAACTAGGTTAAGTCAGATGATCCATGTCCCAAGATGATCCACAAGTTCAGTGCCAAAAAGGGAAAGACAATGACTGCAGATGGCAGAAGAATTCATGTAACCAAGAGATAAAATTGTATAGATTGTAGAGTCAGGACAAGGACATACTGGTAGAAAACACAACCAGATTAGTGGTTGAGGAAATGAAGAGGAAAATTAGGAGGAAGAAAATATGGAGCACATCAGGGTGATACTCATTACGGATCATCTTATTCAGTACCCAGTGAGGGCGTGCTTTGGACTGGGATGGTTTAGAGACTTGGACCAGAGAGGAGGATCCCTTTTCAACACTGACATGGCTAGATGAAGGGACATTCTTTCAAACTTAAGTGAGATAAGTTAAGTAAACAACGCAAAGGACTCTTCAGCCAGCATGGGAACACTAGTTGTCACAAAATTAACAAAATATTTTTGAGCACATTTAAAAATTGTGGATACATTACAATACTACTAAGGAAAGTCAGACTCTACTGAACTTAGTCAAGGAAAACAATAACACTTTCCCATGAGCCAGGCCTTGATGTTTCTGGCGATAAGAGAAGATGGAGTTGGATGGTCCAAGTATCTGACCCAGTAAGATAGTTCACATATTCTTGTGTCTCTACTTAATTATTCTCATTAACCCCCTATAAACCAAATTGCAAACACTTAATAACTTTGAATAAAATGCCTTGTAGTCAGAAATGACTTGATTGGAGCTCGAAGTAAATGTGAAGCCTGGGAATATATTCGAATACACGTGTCAGTTCATGATGACCCTTCTCACGCCCAGCTGACCAGCTCATACGCATCTCCAGAATTCTGGAAACTAACTTACTCTCCTTCCTACCTTGGTCTTTGTGAAAATTCATGGCCTGAGACTCTGACTCCTTTCTTAGGTGACAACACTTCTTATGTGCTGTGAAGGGAACCAGAGCTTCCCACGCATACATTTATTACCAAGGTAGCTTTGCCACAAATGCTGTTGGCCATAGATGATTTATTAATCCAGGTACTGAAACTGGAAAAGTCAGTGTTCATGCTGTCACTACCAGAACCAATAAGGAGAGACAAGGATCGGATCTTTATGGACACTTTATTCAGATGTTGGCAATCTGAGAAGATGGCAGGTTATATACCCTAAAAACCATCTTACATCTCATCTCAAGCCAATCAGCAATTTTTTATTCATGTTTGTACATTGTCTCCATCAAACACAATGGCTCATATACCGTTTTGGTTGCTTGCAGTCCTTCTGGAGTCAGGGTAGGCCCAGTCATGCATTCCAGTTCCTGGAGAAACAGCTTTCCACATGCACTAATCACTAAGCCCATTAACTACAAGTTAAAGCTAAAAAAACATGAACTCAAGTTCCCCCCTCACCCCCACCATGGTTAGTTTTCAACTATCTTATTTCTGTGAGATTGGTTTTGAGATTGGTTTCATCTGGACGTATTCATTTTGCTGTTGAGTGTGTCTTGTACACTTCATTGCAGAGCTACATAAGGGGACACATTGTATGTAACAACAAGCTATGATACTGAAAAAGATAAAAAGAATAAAAACAACAAATGCCTCTCTAAGACCGGTAATACTAGGCAGCCAGGAGGTCAGTGTAGACAGATCAATACCAAAGAAGCCCTCATTGGGTTGCTCTATGAGCTGCGAGTCATCAGTCAGGTTGAAACAGCAGAGTTCTTTAGATCCTTCACATCCGTGATTATGTCTTAAAAGGAGGTAGTCCAGAGCTGCTCGATTTTGTAAGGCCACTTCTCCAGCTTGTCCTAGTTCTTGACTGATGGCGCCAATGGCTTGAATGGTGGCATTCAAAACTTTTGCCAAAGTGCAGGCTGCCGTACTCCTTTCCATATTCAAAGAGGTTGCTACAGCTGGCACTACAAATGTAGTCAAAAGCATATGTTCAGTGAGGCTAAAAAGGTGGAAATAATTGTCACAATTCAGTGTAAGCAAGAATTCCTGCGGATCCCCGGTGGGGTGGGGCTTCTGAGGCATAAACACAGTCAGTCTTCCCAGAGAGCATGGTCCCCCGGAACTGTTTGCTGGAACATAGGAGTAAACGGTCCTTCCACATATTAGAAACCATCCTGCAGGCAATTTAACATGAGCATGAGCGTAAGAGATGTCAGTGGTGGTGTTGCAATCCATCTTCACATCTGCTGAGAGCACAAAACAGTTTTTAGTACAGTTGACAAAATTTGCACACTCCCCAGCTGGGGCTACTTGAGTGACTTTTATGGAAAACATTTCCCTGTCCTTCAGATTTACCGAAGGTCCAAAATTATAAATATCAGCGTAGGTTATGGTCTTATTGATATACTTAAACAAAGTGTAATTTCGAAGGCTTTCCAGGGGAGCACAAACACCTACAATGTAGGAGGCGAAAGTTTGCTCGATATAGGTTCCTCCTGCAAGACAAAAGTCAGAGGTGTTTAGAACATTTTTTGCTAAGTATACCCAAATGTTTTCATTTTCTTTGAAAGGAGTAAGCTCTCCATGACATGGGGCTAAACAAAGAGTGATGCAAACAATATATGGCATTGTTTGCAAAAGATGACTTCCAGGTCTTCTTGGGGTTTGGTGGCCCATTGTTCTCGTGGTGCTTTCTTTACTTGGATTCCGGTGAGAATTTAAGATGTTATTCCTGCCAACTTCACCGCAACTGGGGCGGTGAGTAGTATATCCCAAGGTCCACTCCACTCTTCTTCCAGTCGGCTTTCTGGGGATCCTGTCTTCCAGGTCTTGAGAAGCACCTTATCTCCGGTCTTAAATTAATGTAGCAAACCTGTGTGGGAGAGATCTCAAATGTAAGTGAGACCATTCATTACAGCTAAGGTTTTACTTAAATACTGTACGTAGTTCTTTACCTTTACTTCTCGATCTCTATACATATCTCCCGCCCCAATCATAGCCTGAGATGCTTGCCCACACACAATTTCATAAGGATTCAATTGAATCCCACTTTAAGGAGCCACCCTTATCCTGAGCAGGGCAATAGGTAAAACTTGATCCCAAAGGAGATGAGTTTCTTGACACAGTTTGGCTATATTTTTCTTCAAGATATGATTCATCTTTGTCAGGTAGCAAGGTAGCTAAAAAAGGACCAGGAACCACAAAGTCCAATTAAGGGCTTTTGTTCAAGGTGGGATGCTGCAGTAAGGAGGGCTGCATCCTCTGAGCAGACTGCAGCTGCAAGGAGAACGGGTAGAAGGGTTTTTAAGGGGATGTAGCAACTCCTGAGGAGGGTGAGTCACCCTCCTGATCTGTCCCAGCTGCCCAGGGTATAGGTGTTTGCAAGGCAATGTCCTCTGGTCAGGGATGGCTGATTCAGCAACAGAGAGTCTGGGAGATTTATGGGCCTTGTTTCTGGGAAAAGCTCGAGGGAAAGGGGAGGGGCAGTGAGGACACAGCCAGTTTCCAGCAAGATGCCAGCGCTGATGCCTCAGTTGCTTCTGATAATAAAGAACCTCATGGTCAGGTACTCAGGCGGTGACACACATCTTCTTTGTTCCCGCATAGGTGGTGGCTTAGGTCCCCCACATTCCAGTACATTCTGACAATCTTCTCTGCCTCCCCAGAAGCCTGAGGTCTCCAAGCCATATGGCTTTAGAAATTCCAGGACCTGTGAGCCATGGCTTCATACACATCGTTAAAAAAATCCCTTTCATACTGAGTGGCCCCATGCAAATGCTTCATGATGGCTCTACTAAATGTTAAAGAAGCAGTATAACTCCTTTCTTATTTTTTTCTCCTTCTGTTGGGAACCAGCCTGCCTGGTTTCAGAAGCTGTAACCTCCCCATGGCTAAAGCTGAGGGAGCGACCTTGGATCGTAAGCCACTAAGGAGACAAAGCTTATCTCCCTGGCAGGAGCGCTGCACTGCTTCTGCTCCTTTTACTTCATCCATAACTGGCCCCCAATGCTTGGCCAATGATGGGCAAGATTCCCCAAGGGGGGAACGATCTGAGACAGGCAAGATCATGTGGGAGGCCCCCAAGGAAGGACTTTGGGGGGTACAGCAAAAGGGGGTGATGGACCCTCACCCTTTGGCTTTGACAAAGCCTGAGTCCTCATTCTGTCTGCAAAAAGTCTCCTAATCCCTTGGCTGCATTACTACCCCTGCCTGACTTAAGCCTGAGACAATGCCTTAAGCCTGAAACAATGACAGAGGTCATTGCAACAGAGGCAACAGAGGGTGGTGCAGCCCTGTGCTGGGAAGGGTGGGTTTCCTGGGCAATCAGGCCTAAGAAAGAATATGTAAAATCCTGTGAAATCTGCTTTGTTTAGAATGCTCTCAATTAAATGATAAGGGTCCAAGGAGGAAGTTGGTTTGTTCCTCAAAAGTTTTATTGCTCTTTAGCCATTAGACCCTGACTCAGAATAGGCCCTCAGAGTTCTTTGTTATCTATTGTTTGATCCCTACTGCCTGACAATGATTAATGAGCTTTACCTGTATTCTAGTGCAAATGAACCCAATGAAAGCCCATTGAGGAACAAGCTCCTGGCCCTTCTCCTTTGAGAGATCCACCACCTTTCCTCCCCAAGCAGATCATGTCTTGGTAGACTTATTCTCATCTGTTTTGGCCGGAGGGTGAGGGGGACCCTACGGGAGGAGCCCCCCCCCCACATCCATCTACCGTTGGGACCTTCTTCATCAAAACCCCAGCTCTTGTCAGCCTTGTTTGGTGCTGGATCAGCCAGATTGTTACTTTCAGCCACTTCAGTGTCTTCTTTCTGATGCCTGGGCAGTGCATAACTGCCACCTGTAAAGGTACCTGGATGGTTTGTAAAATTTAAAAATCGTTGCTGCATGCTTAATTTCCTTCTTTGGGAAGGAAATACTTTTCTTGCCTTCCAGGTCAAACCGTGTGCATGCAAAATTAGGAAAGCTTACCTTGAGTCGATATACACATTCCCTCTCTTTCCGTGTGACAATTCCAGGGTGCTCATCAATGCGATCAGTTCAGCCTTTTGAGCAGAGGCTCTGGGGAATAAGGCCTGAGCATCTACTATTCCTTCAAGAGTCACAACTGTATATCCAGCCTTTCTGCTTTCCCTGTGTCCATATAACTGCTTCTATCTGCATTATAGAGTCCAGCCTGCCTCTTCTAGAGTACGGTCTTGTAAATCACTTCTGCTAGAAGACACTTCAATTCTTCCAGCACAGCCATGCATTAGCATGAATGAGTCAGGCTCCAGGGGCAGGGAGGCAGGATTTAACTTACTTATAATTTTGAGGGAAATGTTGGGATTACCCAGAAGAATTGCTTGGTACCTGCCCATTCTTCCAGTAGTGAGCCACAATTTATTTATTTATTTGTTTGTTTGTTTGTTTGCTCTAGCAGGCTCAACACTTGGTGGGATGCATAAATGGTGATAGGCTGTCCCAAGGAAAACTTTGCACCTTCTCATAAGAGCTCACAGGTGGCTACCACGGTTCTCAAGCAGGCTGCCTACCTCTGGACAGTGTGATCTAGTTTCTTTGACAAATATGCAAGGGTTGCAGAATGTCACTAAGCATTTGGGTGAGGACTACTAGGGTAATGCCCTGCCTTTCATGAAATATAATTGAATGGGCAAAAAACAACAACCAAAAGGAAAGGGGGGGCTTTAGTAGGTTCAGAAGCCCCAAGGCCGGTGCAGAAGCCAGATGCACCTCCAGGGACACAAAAGCCTGAGTGCACTTCTTTGTCCCTCTAAAGGGCTATATTCTGGTCCCTTCAGAGCTTCATGCCATAGTTTAGCGATGAGCCCACAGCTTGGAATCCAAATGCGGCAGTAGCCTACCATTCCCAGAAATCCTCTTAACTGTTTCCTAGTATTGGGAACTCTCATTTGAATTATGGTTTCTTTCCCATTTCTAATAAGACTCCATTTGTCAGGTTAAAGCAGAAACCCCCAAAATCTTATAGCTTATTGGCAAATCTGGGCCTTTTGTGCTGATACTTTATAGCCACAAGATACCAGATGGTTCAAAGTAGCTCCAGGACTAAACACTGCTAAAATGATGTCCCAGTAATTAAGGGGTCATCTGCATATTGTAACAGAGTTCCTCCTTCTAGTTTTGGGTCCTCTAAGTCCTGGCTCAGGGTCTCCCCAAGGTTCATGGGGGAGTTCTTGAACCCTTTGTTAAGACTGTCCAGTGGTACTGAGTCTTGACTCAAGATTCTGGGTCCTAGCATTCAAAGGCAAACAATGGTTGAGGGTTTTGATCAACCAGAATGCAAAAGAAGGCATCTTTTAAGTCCAATCCTGAAAAGCAGAGGCTGCCCCCAGGTATACTGTTCACCAAAGCATAAGGATTCAGGACAGTGGGGTGAATGTCCCGAACAATGTCATTTATGGCCTTAAATCTTGTATTTAATGCTTATATTAAATATAATATAATGCTTATATTATTGCTTATTATATTAAATATAATGCTTATATTATATTATATTTAATATAATATGCTTAATAATATGTTTATATTATAATATGCTTAAATATATGCTTAAAAAATATGTTTAAATATAATATGCTTATATTTAATAATATGCTTATATTTAATAATATGCTTAAATTAATGCTCATTTGAGTGGGGTTTCTTAACAGGTAATATAGGTGTATTGTATGGGGAGTGGCAGGGTCAAATACGTCCATTTTCCTGAAGCTTCTGAATTTGGGGGTATATTCTTTTTAGGGCTTCTTTCCCCAAGGAAAGGATATACTGCCTCTTGCCGGGGTACCCAACCCTGGTTTGAGGTCAACTTTAACAGAAGAGGTTCACTTAACCCTCCTGGGCTTTCCAGCAGCCCATGCAGTGGGGTTTACGTGATTCTCAATTTCTTCCGGCCAGGGTCGCTTTTCTTCTTCTTCCCACGGTTTCACAAGGAACTGCCAGGTGTGCTCTGGAGGGGCCTGCAGGTGGAGCTGTTGTGCTTATGGAGAGAAAGTGATCTGCGCAGGAAGTCTGGACAGCCAGTCCCTTCCCGGAACAGGAACAGGACACTCAGGAATATATAAAAATTTATGAGTGAAAATGGTATCTCCCACATTCTAATGGTTTCAAGTGAAGCACATTCTGATAGTTTCAAGAAAAATTGGCTCTCAGGGCTTCCAGAAATTCCAGTTACAGTTACAGCATGCCGCAAGCACTCAGTTGGAGGTCTATTGCCCATGGACTACATTGCTTCATGATCAAGCAAGAAGTCAGCAATGTGTCCCCCACTGTTAGTTCTACCTGAGGTTCTGGGAGGAGGGGGGTGACTTTAATAGCTTGTTGTAGTAACAGAGCCTCTGGGCCCTGTCATTCATCATTGGGGCCGTATCCTTTCCTCAGCATAACTCTGGAGTTCTCAGACTCTGACTTTCCCACTGGGGGCCCTCATTTTTACAGGGCCCCTTTTCCTTGCAATATGCACATTGATCAGTGGCGATCTTCTTAGATGGGGGTTGGGTGCCTCTTGCCCAGCAACAGAATTACCCTGAGACCTGCTCCAAGAAAATCGTGGTCACTTCGGCCTTTTTCCCGTCTCTGTTATTATAAACTTTGAAGGCAAAATCTACTAATTGGGAAGAATTCATGCCTATTCCTCCCTCTAATTCTGAAGTTTCTTTCTGATGTCAGGTGCACTTTTAGAAATAAAGGTCGTATTCACCATTGTAATATTTTCAGGGGCATGTGTATCCAAATTAGTATATATTCTATAGGCCTGGTAGATTCTTTCAAGAAATTCAGAGGGGTTCTCTGTGGGCTTTTGTTGTACTGCCTGTACCATACTCAGACTTTTCTGCTTAGGGACTCCTTTCTTCTCTCCCTCAAGGATGAACCTTTTGTAATGCTCTAAGAGAGAAAGACCATTCTCATTAGGGTTCCCATTGGGATTGGTTAAAGGTTTTGCCTTAGTAGGGTTGGGAGCAGAATCTGGATTTTCTTGATGCAGTCTCCAAGCCTCCTCATTGTCTTGTCCAATACCAACCTCCACTCACCCCCTGTAAGCAAAATATTCAGTAAGTCTTGTACGTCTGCCCAGTTGGGATGGTGGGTGGCAAAAATTAGTGTAACTAAGTCATTTTCATGGGATCATTCCTATAAGGATTTGAATTTTTTCAGTTTATCAGATTTGATGTAGAAAACAGAGTGTGTGTCCAATAACATCCAGTGAGCTGGCCCTCTGGCCCGACTCCCACTGGAAGTCTTTGCAAAGGGTATTGTCCTGCCCCAGTAGAAGTTTGTCCTCTGCTGAATTTGGTTCTCTGGCTGGTTCAGAATGGTGAGACAAGTTCAGGCTCACCTCCTCTGGTTCCTTCAGCTGAGTAAGGAGGAAGACAGCCCCAGGGCTGGAGGGGCCAATGGATACCCTTAACCATGCTCACAGCAGCCAAACACACAGATATTCTTGGTCCCTTTCTTCTGAGCTTCTGCTATCTGCCACAGGCAAATTCCCTTTTCTCTGGACCGCTAATCTATTTTTTATTAATCCTGCACCTTTATTTTATAACGTCACAAAAGCCTATACATAAGGTATTTTCCTGATCTTTGACAACACAACTCTAACTGCAATATAGTATGGTAATTTAAAGACCCATCCAGCAGCCAGCACTCTCCTAAGTATAGATTATACATAAGCCAAACAGTATTATGATAAGAATAATTTCCTTTTTAGTGATAGGTTCATAAACATAGGTCGACCAATCACCCAAAATTCAGCCCAACTTTCCAGTCAAGATGGCAGCATAGTTAAACATGGCTTACCTCCTCACAAAACCATATCAAAATTACAACTAAACTATATACCAACCACCATTCAAAACCATCAGAAATCCAGCAGAATGTAAGTCCTACAACTAGAGAATTAAAGAAGAAACCATATTGAGACTGGTAGGAGGGGCAGAGACACAGAATGGCTAGTTCCACACCCATGTGTGGAGGATAAAAATCAGGAGGGTATCTTAGGAGTGAGGAGTCCCAGCCCCAGGCCAGGGTTCTTGTGCCAGGAAATTAATTCCCCATAACTTCTGGCTGTAAAAACTAGTGAGGATTGAGGCTGTGGAAGACAGAAACTGCTGGAACTCAGGCAGCTCTTTCTAAAGCCCCCCCCACACACACACACACTTACTTGGACTCACTCCCTCTGAACTCCAGCACTGAAGCAGCAGATTGAAAGGCATTAGAAACAGATGAGGAGGGAATGAATTGTCTGATATCAGGGTGAGAGCTGGGGGCAGCTTTCTCCCAGACAGAAGTGCTGGTAGAGGCCATTGTTCTTCTGATCCCTACCCCCAACAGAGACACAAAGGCAGCAAGCAGGTACCATATCTGAGCCTCCATCAGCCTGGTTCACACTCTTTGCCTCACTCTGGTGATTTCCTGAGGCCATGATCCACTCAACTTCTGAGCCCACCCAAGCAGTTTCCAGTGGCTATTCCATTTCCATATGAGTGTCTTGTCTTGGCCCATGCTTCAGATTTTCCCAAATTCTCTCAAACAAGCAGCATCTGCCTTCATGAACCCCATACTCCTTACTACTTTGCCCCAGGCCCAACACTGGCAGCAGCTGGCCTTGGTTCACAGCTTGGCCTTGCCTAGACACCTCCAAGTGCAGCACAAGTAGCAGCCATCTGCAGATCACTTTGTATCTTATGCTGTGTAACCTCAGACAGAACACAATCAGTGGCTGACCTTGGATGTACCAACAGCAATCAAGGCTCAACTATAAGAGAATGTACCCAGCCCACACAGTGGGCCACCTTAAATACTTAATTGGGTATAGGAGAGGCTGTGCCACAAGACTCTACAGGACACTTAATATGTTAGGCCACTCTACCAAGCCTGGGAGACACTGCAACTCTACCTAATACATATAAGCAAACACAGGGAGGCTGCCAAAATGAGGAGACAAAGAAACCTGGCCCAAATGAAAAAACAGACCAAACTCCAGAAAAATAACTAAACAAAATGCAGATAAGCATTCTATCAGATGAACAGTTATAAACACTGGTTATGAGGATGCCTAAGGAACTTAGTGAGGATCTCAACAGCATAAAAAAAAAAATCCAATCAGAAACAAAGGATACGCTCATTGAAATAGAGAATAATTTACAGGGAATTAACAGTAGGGTGGATGAAGGTGAGAATCAAATCAGCAATTTGGAACATAAGGAAGCAAAAAACAACCATTCAGAACAGCAAGAAGACAAAAGGAATAAAAATAAAAATGAGTGTAAGGAGCCTCTAGGACAATTTCAAGCATACCAACATTTGTATCATGGGGGTGCTGGAAGGAGAAGAGAGAGAGCAAGTAATTGAACAACAATTTGAAAAAACAGTGACAGAAAACTTCCCTAATGTGGTGAAGGAAATAGACATGCAAGTCCAGAAAGTTCGGAGTCCTAAGCAAGATGAACCCAAAGAGGCCCACACCAAGACACATCATAATGAAAATGCCAAAGGTTAAAGACAAGGAGAGAATCTTAAAAGCAAGAGAAAAGCAGTTAGTTACCAACAAGGGAGCTCACATAAGACTGTCAGCTGATTTCTCAAAAGAAACTTTGCAGGCTAGAAGGGACTGGCAAGAAATATTCAGTGATGAAGAGCAAGGACTGCAACCAAGATTACTCTACCCAGCGAAGCTATCATTTAGGATCAGAAGACAGAAAAATGTGCTTCCCAGACAAGAAAAAGCTAAAGGAGTCACCACTAGACACATATATGAAATGCTAAAGAGTCTTCTTTAAGAAGAAGAAAATAAAAAATATGAATGATAAAATGGCAATAAGTACATATCTATCAATTGTTTGTAAAAACCAAAATAAACAAAGGAGCAGAACAGAAACCGATTCATAGATGCAGGGAACATTTTGATGGTTGCCAGATGGAAGGGGGCCAGGGAGATGGGTGAAAAAGTGAAGGGACTAAGAAGTACGAACAGGTAGTTGCGGAATAGTCACGGGGATATAAAGCACGGCATAGGGAATAGAGTAGCCGAAGAACATGTACTCAGGACCCATGGGCTTGGGAAACAGTGTGGGGATTAACTTAGGGAGTGTGAGGCAGGGGACTTGGGTAGAGAAAGGAAAAGAGAGAAAAACTGACTGCTGTAACAGCATAAACAATAAAATATAATTTTAAAAAATTCATTCCTAAAGGCTGTTTCCTGGAACGGAGGCTTCCCCTCATCATTCTACCAGACAGATCTCTGTAATAAAACACAAACCAGAAGGCACCTTAATTCCTGATGACCAACCTAAGTCCTAACCCAAAACTGTAATCCTGAACCAGAAAGTATAGTGATTCAATCAAAAGTGAAACTCGAAAGGGAGTCCCAAGAGTTGGAGAAAGAGATTCCTCAAGTAAAATCACTTGGCAGCTGCTAGGGAGTCTCCAAATGTATACCCCAGGACCCCCAGTCCAGGCAGCCCACCAGACACCCCACCAAATTCCCAGACTCACCGGAGAGTCCAGAGCTGTCCTGACTGGAGTTGCCGGAATATGGAACTGCAAACGTTTGCCACTGGAGAAGCTTTTTCCTTCAGTTGTGTCCTCTTCTGATGCAAGAGATCTTTTTGCTCATGCAAATCTTGTTTATTCCCCAGGCCCGTCACTACCAGAACCAGTAAGTAGAGACAAGGATTGAATCTTCACGGGCACTTTACTCAGATGCTGGTGATCTAAGAAGACAGTGGGTTATGTACCCAAAAAACTGTCTTCATGTCTCATCCCCAGCTGACCAGTGATTCCTTATCTGTGTCTAGACGTCCTCTCCCGAGGCACAAAGGCTCAGATACCATCTGGATTGTTTGCAGTTCCCCCGCATTCTGTTAGGTCTAGTCATGCAGCCCAGTTCCTGGAACAACAGCTCTTTAATGCGTGCATTACTCATTAAGCCTCCTCACTATAAGCTAAAGCTAACATTTTTTAACTCCGAGTTCCCTCATCAGTATCACCATATCATTTTCCTCCGTTACATCAACCCAGGCCTAAAGAAATGAAGGCCTGTCCTGTAGAAAATGCTTCTCCAAATTCAGAGCAATCCTTTTGGGGCAGAAGAGGCATTTTCGGTAACTGAACAACTCCATTCCCCACCCCCCAAATTTGCTGTAGCTCAGTAATCTGGCTCCAAGTATGACTAGATAGCTCAGACGTAGCCAGCAATAACTGATTTGCCGAAGTTTTCATCTATATCAGTTTACATAAGCAACTTGCTTCAAAGAGTGTTTTGAAGTTGTTTACAGAATAAACAATTTGTGTCTGTCTGAAAAAACAGAGCCACTGATATGCATAAGAAAAGTTTGCAGCTGCCAAGGTGGCGTGAGGTTGCTTACCAGGAAGGCCCACACTGTCTGCCCAGGGGCAGTGTCCTGGGTCCCCTGCACCTGGGCCCAGTGTCCGCAACGCTGTGTGTGATGAGGGCACTGCATTGTCATACCTGATTTCTACAGTCCCTCTCAACGCACAGAGGTTTGAATTTCTGAAGCAGCACATCCCTACCTTTGGATGATTTTCTAGTGGAAAACCAAGCGGTGGGGCCCACATGTGAAATCTTTGATTTTGTAATTAACCCCCACCATTGCTACACCCCCAACCCAGAGGTGGGCCGTTCCCCATGGTTGTGGTGTCTGTGCTTCCGTCCCCTCTTCTGTGGGGATAAGGTGGGGACGGGTTGAATGGTGCCTTTACCCTGGGGGCGGGCGGCGAGGATAAAGGGTGGGGTAGTGGACAAGATCACCCAACGGGAGGTGGAGGATTAGAAGCTCCCGCAGGGTGGTTTAGGTGGAGGGCCAGGAAGAGGCAGGCACTTGAGGAGAGGGCTCAAGTGGAGGCAGCAGTGAACACCCTGGCTGGCCAGGGACGCCCCTATTGAGTGCGTCACCGGATCTTGGTGCCGTAGAGTGAGCACAGTCCGGGTCCACACACCAGACTCCTCCCCAGCTGGCATCAAAGGGCTGAGTGGTGGGTGCTCAGCACCCAATCCCTTCCTAGTCGCCCCTGCCGGGCTACTGTAGAACAAAAATGGAGCCGCAAAAACTGCAGCTCAGCCACTGCCAGTGGGCCCTGGGCAGGCAGGCGGCCTGCCGGGTGCGGTGACGGTGTGGTAGGCCTCCCAGAGCTGTCCTGATAGAAAGCAGACAGAAGCAGCAATCTGTGTTATCTTAATACCTCACTACACAGTGGGAAGCAGTATGCAGCAAGCATGTTTAATACCTTCACGGGAAACTGCTGTACAGGAACATGCGCTATATTCAAGAATGCACCCCGAACACTTGATCCAGACCAGCAAGAGAGAAGTGACTGATGCACGAGCACATGCGTGGTGCACAAATGGTGACCTCGAGCCTCGTATCCACCAGCTCCAGCCTTGCAATGCCTGACACTTTGCTGCTGGCCCAAACAGCTGCATGCCATGAGGAGTATGCCAGATGTGGCTGAGACGCCCAGGAAGAGGCCACTGCCTGCAAAGACCTTGGAGCTAACCAGGCAGCTTCCCTGGACATTTGTAAAGACAGCCAACTGCAGTCACAAGAAACAACAGCCCCACCTAAAACTTGCCACTGGAGAAGCTTTTTCCTGCAGCTGAGTCCTCTTCAGGTGCAAGAGATCTGTTGCTCACAGAGAATCCTGTTTGCCCCCCAGGACCCCCGCCATGGAGACTGGCTGCTGTACCCAAGCCACCCCAGCTGCGGACACAACAGGTGCACCTGTGTGGGAGGCACAGCCTGGTTGCCATGGAGCTCCAAGGATAAGGGGATCACCATCAAGTCAATATCAAAAGTCTTCTTGTGGTCCCTGAGGCATTTGGGGCACCTCTTCTCACTGTGCTAAAGGGGAAGAAACCCCACATGCCTCTTGCACAAACTGTGTTCCTGGAAGCACACTCTCTTAATCACAACACCTGCAGGGCCTGGCAAAGGGGCAGCGGTGCTAATAACAGGCACAACAACAGGTGCTGTAGGCATGGAAGCAACCAAGTCTAGACTTGGCACACACATACAGCACCAGCAAGAGCGTCCCTCGTGCATCCAGCAGGAAGTGGAGCCAGCAAGTCCATGGCAGGTGCTTCTGCAGTGTCCCCCAGGGGTCTTCGAATAGTTGGAGCAAGTGCTTGCTTCAAGTGCATGCTTTCAGCATGTCAGCAGGAGCTACGGGCGCCTCCCCAGAGGGCTGCACTTGTGTGGTGCTTGCAGAACCAGAGATGACCAGCCAGCCTGTTGTGGAAACAGTTCCAGGTCCCATAGCAGGACCCCTTGTCTCAGCCTTGCAGAGTGAAGGCTCCACAGTGAACAGGACAGAAGCTACAGAGTGTCCCAACCCAAGGCTGAAGTCCAGCAGGAGAGACAGGAACAGGACAGAATTCCCACCAGAAGTCATCCCCAATACCATAGGACTGGGGAGGACAAGTCAAGCCTAAGGTCGCCATCCTTCTGCTCCTTCGCCTGCCACCACTAGGGGTGAAGAAGAGGAGAGAGTGCCAGCAGCCCAGGAGATACAACCCTGGCCCCATGAAAACACCCCCGCAGCCCCATCACAAAGGAGTCTAGGTTATCTCAAAAATTGCGAGCTGAACTATGACTAGCTCAGGGTCTTCCAGCAGAAATAGCTTTTCATTGACTTCCAGCCTGCCTGCCTGCACCTGTCCACCATGCAGACACCAAGTCCAAGATGGTGGAGGAGAGCTTCACATCGTCTGGGGAGGGCTGCATGCCATCAGCAGACAGGGACCCTATCTGAGGCCAAGGGGACAATGATTTTGAAACCCATAAAAAAGGAGTTAAATGTGAAAACTTTGGTGTTTTCATTTAGTGTGCCTTAGATTTAAGTAAATAAATAAAAGTGAGTAAAATACATTTTAAGAATTACAAAAACCTTATAAAGGATGAAGGCACATTTCTTTTCATCACAAAATTCATGTGCATGTGCTGGTGAGAAGAGTAAGGCAGGTGAAGGGAGAATCAAAACACCTGCCCTCACACCTGGAATGACATGGCGACTCGGTGGGCCTATGCTGGTAAGAAGAGGGGTCTCTTACCTCCTGTCACAATCTGTTTGGGCTGCTACAACAAAAAGATCGTAAACTGGGTGGCTATAAACAGCATGTATTTCTCATGGTTCTGGGGGCTGGGAAGTCCAAGTTCATGGTTCTGAAAGATTGTGGCTGGTGGGGGCCCGCTTCCTCATGGATGGCTGCCTTCTCCTTGGAACCTCACAAGGCAGAAGGGGCAGGCCAGCTCTCTGGGCCCTCTTGTACACGGGCACTAACACATTCGCGAGGGCTCCACCCTCATGACCTAATGACCTCCTAAAGGCCGCACCTAAAACCATCAACTTGGGATTTTAGCACGTGAATTTCAGGAGGACACAAACATTCAAAGTGCACATATTTCATTATTTAGCCCAGGGGTTCTCAAACAGCAGGAGATTTCAGACTCACCTGGGAGGATTTCTGAAATGCCGAGTCTTGGCCCTAAACAAACTGAACCTATACCTCTTAGATGGAGACCAACTCGAGTGATGCTGATGGAGATCATTCAATATCTGCACCCAGAAGAACACTGGTACAAGGTTCAGTTTAAGGACTGACGTTGAGTGTCAGCCAGCAGGCCCCACAGGCTTCCATGGAAATGTCCTCATCTTTCTGAACTAGGTACTGGTTCATTTTAATGATACCTATTATACTGACATTCACTCATTAACAGATACCGGAATACAAGTGCCTGTGCTAGACACTGTTTTAGCTGCTCTATTAGTTGTCTTTAGATTTCTTGACTTACTTTTACAATGCTGCCTACAGACCTACCTGAGTTTTTTCAACTGCTGTCTAGCATGCCGTTGTATGGGCGAGCGCTATATAACCTGTCCCCAAAGGCAGAAGTTGTGATAAGGGTCTCAAGAGTTGGAAACTTTTAGTTTAAGTAAGAGCTCATAAGCTTAGAAACCAACGCGTGTGAAAGCTGTTGTTCCAGGAACTGAAGACATGACCCGCCCTGGACTCCAGGGGACGGTGAGCAGTCCCACCTCGTGACTCAGGAGGGCTGTGGGCAATCCGAGATGGTATCTGAGCTCCTGTGCTCCGGGGTGAGTTGACCACCACCCAGGGGGAGAATACTGCAGTTTTTTAAATCCAATTAACTTTTCTCTGAATTCCCAACCCTTTACCTACACTTTGTTCTCCTTATGAAAAGGGACATTTTAAAATGGAATTTGAGACTGTCTGTTAAGGCATGAACCGGCCATCTTCTCAGATGGCCGGCGGTCTGAATAAAGTGCCCATAAAGATTCAATCCCTGTCTCTGCTTACTGTGTTCCGTATGTGACAAGCCGCATGAATGCTGTCCACCCCACCCCGCCCCCCCAGTTTCAAGAGGTTTTGAAGCACTGGTACATACTGCATAAGAAAATTACAAATTATTCTGTTGTTTTGAGAGTGTATCTACACTCAGAAAGAGAAAAACGTGTTTTCCTCCTGTGTTTGCAGGACTAGGACAGCATACATATGTCAGGAAAGGAAATAAAATGTCTTTGTCTTATTGTCTTGAGATAACAAGTAACTGCTTCTTTCTCACAATACAGGGAGGAGCAAAAGTAGGTTTATAGCTGTTTGTGTGGAAACTAACACAATAATTAATAAATAGTAGTACAAGAATAAGCTCTGTTTTGTGTACTCACAGCTGCAGACCTGAGACAGGATAGGGAGAAGCTAGGAAAACCCTTTTGGGAGTGGAATAGGGACGCTGAGACAGAGAGCTGAACACAATGGCAGAGCTATTGACAGCCAGGGGCAGATGGTCACCCCGGCAGGGGGAAGACTGGGCAAAGAAGGACCTCTCCCCTGGGATGCCCTTTCCTTGCCTGGCCTCTCCTCCCTGGAGATAACTTCAGGGCCTCGGGTGTGGTTCAGCTCCAGGCCCAGAAGAGCAGAGAAACCAGGTGGGGGTCTCCAGAACCAACTAAAGACCCTGTCGCTGACCAATTGGAAGAGACCGTGACCCTGAAAGGGCACACCTGGGGGGCTGAAGAATGTTCTACTGAACCCTCCCCTGAGACCTTCCTTAAGATTCAAGCCTGCAATAAAGAGAGAAAAACCTCAAGGTCTCAAAGGACCTGCACACACGGTCCCTCCCTCTGCAGAGCAGCCCGTGCCATTCCCTGTCCCTTCGCCTTTCCCCACAGGGCTGCACCTCCTAAGTGCCAGGCAGCTGGTCCCAGGCTGACCCCCTGAACCTGTCCCCAAAGCCCCCTTTCCTCTGACTTCCCAGTGAGCTCGGGCAGCCCAGCCCAGGCTCTCCTGCTGCTTCTTTATGCTAAGTCCGTCCTTGTGTCACTGTCCCCAGCTTTAGCAAACGGACCCTCCTAGTCAAGTGGACTCATGCTGTGAAATCCTTCCCACACAAAGTCAAGAACCCACACTCTGCAGCTGGCCCCAGGCAGACCTGCTCGGGGCCAGGCCCCTGTCCTGTAACCAATCTACTTTTGCCCCACCGTGTATCACCATGTCCCAGCCTTGTGTAGTTAGTAGGGCAAAAAAAAAAAGTCTTTTAGCAAACGACAGCCACCTTTGGAAAATTCATCTGCTCTGGTCTTACCCATTGAGAGAGCAAGGGGTTCACAATGTGACTGTGTCTGGTGTAGGCCTAACAGCACGGCCCAAGTTCTGCGCTGCCTTGACCTGTGGTGACACTGGGAGGGCCCTGACTGTCCCAATTCCCTTTCTGCACTCTGCACCTGGGGCTAAGGTCCCCAGCCAAACAACCCTCCCTATCAAGGAAGCCAGAGGCAGTTCCTCTTTTCCTGAAGGGGTGAGTTTCAGTTCCCTGCTAGCCAGGGACATTACTCACCCAGGCCAATCACGTCCTCCGGGGCAACCAGCTTCACTCCAGTCTGCCTCCCACGGCCTCTCTCTGTTCACTCCATCCCCCTGTGGCCCTGCAGATGTGCTGTGTCCTCCCCTGGCTTGTGAGTGTGCATGACAAACTGCTGCCTGTCCAGTGTCAGGTGTCCAGTGTGCTGTCCCCATAACTCCAGGGCAGGAATCCTTCCCTCATGAATGGGATGAATCCAAGGTGATCATAACATCTTCTAGCCACTGAAATCGATTCCTTGTTAAAATAAAATAAATTTGTATATGTTTAAATAAAATAAACTTGTGTGATTTTAGAACACATTAGAAATCAAGTATTTTTTTCACCAATACCAAGACAGTCAGAAAACACGATCTCCTTGGGCATTTTCTCTTTATCACAGCCTGTCCTTGCGGTAGGCTGGCGACAGAAATGTAAGTGATCGGCCAGTTGCACGGTTTCTGCAGTGGCCACAGCCGGTCCCTGCCACAGCCAGCCCACAAGGGGCGAAAGAGGGAGGCACCATTTCTCAGGAAGCACACTAGGTAAACACAAGGAACAAGGCCTTCCGCAAATATTTTTGCTGGAGGACCCGGAGTGCGATCAACACCTATTGTTTACTTGACCAAAACTAAGCCGAGCTCCCAGCGTTCAGGCAGGACATCAGACAGTACAGATGCAGGAGAGAGACGTGAGTGGGAAAGAAGGGAAGAGAGGGGAGGTGTCATCCAATCGCTGTCCTGACCGACCACACTTGTCAGACAGGGTCCCAGGGACCGTGCACAGCGTCTCCCCGGGAAGGATTTCCTCCTTCCAGACCAGGTGGCAGGCAGCGGAGTCCCAGGAAGGCTGCGTAAGATTCTGTTATGTAAAGGATTACCTGGGAAGTGAGGCCCAGCATGCTACAGGGAAGCAACCTTTGACCCCCCGCAGGCAGCACAGTGGTTGGGTGACGATCCGCCCAGAGAGCTTCCTGGAGGACCAGAAAGCCTTGTTTGCATGTCATCGAATGCCACTAGGTGTTCTACTAGCAACCAGCTACCATCTACTAGCTACTATGTGCCACAGACCAGAACATTATGTCCTTTAAGTCGCTTAACACATGTTTGAGATAGGTGCTACCGTACACATTTTACTAATAAGGAAATGCATTAAGTAACTTATTCAAAGTTGTGCAGTTAATAAGAGGTGGAGCCTAAGCTCGAGCCAAGAGCCAAGGTTCTGAACAGCAATCAGAATGTGTCTGGGCATTTTAGGGGGAAGGGACTAGAGGAGCGCCTACTTAGCACAACCAACTCCAAGTGCCATACTAAGAAATAGGTCATAGCTTTTATACAAACACAGAATTTTTTTTTCAGAAAAAAAAATCAACCAGGTGTCCCTGAAGCATACACCATTAGAGCGTCATCAGAACACAGGTGAATCCATTTGGTTGGAAGTGAGAGTCCCGATGAAGAGGATAAAAAAAAAATGCACAGCCACCCTGCATGTTTTGATGCCGCTTTCCAAACAGCTTGCAACTTACCGGCAAACTCACTGGAGGAGTATTTTGTGTCGAATAGAAAGCACAGTCCAAACATGCGTGCTCGGAAGGGTGTTGATCCGCAGCCCGCACTGCGTTGGTTGTGTTCCTCTTTTCCTCGTACAAGCACGTTCATATAACGTCAACACCCAGGGCCGTAGCAGAAGGAAGTCACGCTAACCGACGGGAACAGAGAATTACCTCGGAGCTCAGCACTCCAGCACGGGGCTGCCTTCCGATGGTCTCTAGCGCAGAAGAAGCTGCTCCCCTTGAGTACACCCCTCCTGGCCGTGTGTCCTCTCTTCATTTACTTTCACTGCTTCTTTTGGGTCGCCGTTCATTTCCATTGATGACTTAGGTTTGTATTTAAGGAATTATATCATAAAATCCTCCGAAGCTTAAACAGCTGACCTGGCTAAATACATAGTCACCTTCTTAAAGGTCTTTTGTAAAAATTCATTGTTATGAAATGTTTTAGACGTAATGATTTATAATGGCATTTATAGAACTTAACAATAGGTCTGAAGGATTCACCCGTAAAATAGTGCAGTTTTGCTAATTGTGTTAGTTCAGTGAGGTGTTCATATTGACATTAAATCACTGTGTTTAAAGACACTGTCTTCTGCCCAGACTGGTGTGGCTCAGTGGATTGAGGGACGGCCTGCAAACCAAAGGGTCACTGGTTCGATTCCTGGTCAGGCCACACGCCTGGGTTGTGAGCCAGGTCCCCAGCTGAAGGCATGCAACAGGCAAATGGTCGGTGTTTCCCTTACACATTGATGTTTCTCTTCCTCTCTTTCTCCCTCCCTTCTCCTCTAAAAATAAATTCATAAAATCTTAAAAAAAAAAAAGACGCTGTCTCCCGCTAAACCTGCCCATGGTTATACCACATTCCTTTGGTCTCCCTTACTACTTCACACTTGTTTTAATTAGCATTATGTCCACTCTGTAAATAAATAATTATCTTTATATATCTGCTGTACAACTTTTAACTTGCTCTGACTCTTCTTTTATTACATTGAAAGTGGTTTCTTTAAATGATGGACATACGTCTTTCTCTCCAAACCTCAAAACTCCTAGCAGAATACTCTAAACCGTGTGGACTCCCAGATGCACACACGCACACCCTACCCCCCAGAATTTTGTCTGACAGTCAGTGTTTCAAGTCAATTAATAATCTTGTACCTGTGCAAGTATCTCATAGGAATTGCCATAAATGACTCCTCCCAGATACAAGTCGTCTCTGCGGTCATTTCTTGTCTTAGAGTAAAACACTCCCAACTACTCGTTTATATGATCAAATAGGCTCATCTCTGAGAGTCCATCTGAGAAGGAAATTTAACATGTAAGTGAGCATTCACTTGTGAAAGATGTTACTGTGTCTTAGGGGCTAAAGAAAGTTTAAACTGATAACCTAAAAATAAAGATACCAAAATGAGAGGCCACAAGCACGCGTTTGCAATGAAAAGGAATGGCTATTTGGAAGGCACTGATTAAGGCCGAAACCCGAATAGTGTTCTGATTAAGGGACAAAGTCAAGGGGTATTTATGAGAAAGGGAAGGGGAACAATGCCATCAATAAAAGGGAGGCCCCTTTATTGGTGTAGATAACCTAACACAGCTACGCCAATTCCACACAATGTTTTAATTTTAATGATATCTGCCATGTGCTTTTCCTCAGAAACAGTTCTGTGGGATTCAACGCTGCATACGGCACAATCCGAAGGTTGCTTTGTTTTACCATTCCAAAGCTTTGAGGCCTAAAATGTGCAAGGCAGTTCCTCTAGGATGGCGAGTCGGACGTTATTTTGAAGGGGCTCTGTTTATATTATTTTTCTATACCTCCCCCTTTTTGATTGCAATCTTTTTTGGAAAACGTCACGCTCAGTTAGCAGGAAGGCTCGTTCCTGGCGTGTCCTGTCCCAGTAATACAGGATGGTAAACACACAGGGAGAGGGGAACTGAGACGGAGAGTTCACAGCCAGGTGCAGACAGTCACCAGGTCAAAGGGCCCCAGAGCCCAGCCAGGGAAAAACTGGGAAAACAGGAACCTCGCCTCCAGGGTGAACTTTCCTCTCCTGGTCTTTCTTCCCTGGAGATAACATCTAGGCCTCAGTTGCATTTCAGCTCCAGGCCCAGAAAAGCAGCAAAACCTGGTGGGTGATGCCAGAATCAACCGCAATGACTAAAGACCCCGAAAGGGCACACCTGGAGAAATGATGAGTATTCTACAGAAAGCCTCCTCTGAGACTTCCCCTAAGACAATGGGCAGCTGGCAGCTGTCCCTGGCTAATCCCCTGAACCTATCCCCAACCACCCCCACCCCCACCCTTACTCTCATGCTCTCCTGTTGCACACAGAGCAGGCATTTAGTAAAAAGCAACACAGCCGGCAAACTAGCCAGCAAACTAAAGGCGGGGCTCCAGCTGCCGTATGTTTTATGTATTTTTTATAGTTTGTTAACTGCGTGGAAGAAGCTATACAACTGGCATGTAGAAGACATAACTCTCACAGCAAAATGACAGTGAGACTTAGCAGTGATTCCTGTGGTTCTCAACTTTTTAAAAAAATCAAACAGAATCATTATTTTTTTCCTATAGACTCCATATTCAGGAAGATTTTAGTCAGTAGACTAACTGATATATACTGAGTAATAAATTAGTTTATCCAATTTTACTCAATGTAGATATTGAGCATGCAATCTCAAAAGGGACAAATACTGATTCTCGTGGAGTAGATGAAAAGATCTTACTCTTTTTATGTAATATATTCATAATATATTTATGCACAAAGAAAGAGATGTATACAATATATAAAACATATGCAATATATCTATGGTATTAAAATTTCATGGCAGGTGATCAGGAAAAAATATGTCTAAAAAGACTCTGGGGGGGTAATGATGGAAAAAAAAACAGTAATGATGCACTCATATAAATGCTGCCATTCAGAACTTTTGATCTGTATGAGTTTATCAGTACTATTGCATTCATTTGAAATTTCAGTCAAAAGCAAATGAAAGGCATATCTCACCTGGCTGGTATGGGCCTGTTAACCAAAGGGCCGCTGGTTCAATTCCCAGTCAGGGTACATGCCTGGGTTGCAGACCAGGTTCCCCGTGGGGAGTATACATGAAGCACCCACACATTGATGTTTCTCTCCGTCTCTTTCTCCCTCCTTTCCCCTGTCTAAAAATAAATAAATAAAATCTTTAATACAAAAAAGTCATATCTCAGCTTGTGGGTAGTAATTGTTCATTCAACAGTGAGCATTCTGCCAGGTGATGCCCTAGATGCTGGAACTATGAGAGGTTAGAAACACAGCCCCGCCTTTATGGAGCTTACATTCAGGCTGGGGAGGCAGTAGACAAATGGATGTCATATAGTATCATATCAAATCATATCAAATAAGGTATCAGGAGAAGAACAAGGCAAGGATGAACGTTGACAGAGAGAACAGGGTGCTATTTCCTATCATGTGACCAGTAAGAGGAGGTTCTCTTTGGTAAGGTGTGATTTGAGTTGAGTCCTGAGCGTTTTGAAGCAGATACTGTACTGATAACCAGGGTAATGATGTTCCATGTAGAGCAGAGCCCAAAGAGCCTGAGGTTGGAGTGGGCTCCGTGGGCTGGAAGTACAGCAGAGAGGCTAAAGACGTAGGTGCAGACGAGCGAAGGGAAGGAGCGGGAGACGGGGCCAGAGTAGCAGGGAAGGGGGGGAGGACGTGGGATGTGACAGCTTCCCACCCCTGAGGGACGTGGGAAGCCTCTGAGGGTGTGGGGAGAGGAGTCTGTCTCGTGTCTTCCATCCCCAGAGGTTACACCGGCTGCCCTGTGGAGAAGAGACCGCAGCTCAGCGGGCGTGGAAGAGAGGAGGCCAGTGGGAAGGCTATGGCAAGAGTGTCGGCACAAAATAATGGGGACTGGACTGGGGCCTGCAGGCGTGGGGTGCACTTTACAACATGCTCTTTGAAAAGTCCCAAATACAACAAAACAGAGAAGACCCCCAAACAACTCAAGATCCCTATGATAAAAGATTCCAGATTGAGAAATAAAATATTATCCCAAATTCTAGGTCTTATTTGGGGGAATCTTTGCCTATTTGTGTGCATGTTCAAGAAAAAAAATTTTTCTTCCTGGCATGGTAATTATTCACGTTGGAAAAAAAAAGCAGTCAGCAAATTTCACTTTTTTTAAAGAGGAAAATTTTATAGCTGGACCAAATTGAAATATTTTATATGTAAATAAGGAGCCGCTCTCAGTGAAAGACAAGCTCTGTATATTTTGTTCCTTGAATGTCCCTTCTTTTTTGAAGCTGTCAACCACCTTTCCCTACTTGCAAGTGGCCTGGGGTGGCGTAACCTAGGGTGAGTTGGTTTTGAAGTGCACCGGCGCCTCCAGCGCACAGCAAGTACAGGGTGAGCATGAATGAATGAGTCTTCCCGTGCGATGATGTTTGGCCGACTCCTGGGGCTGAGCAACCGTTACGTTTAGTGTGGTGAGACTCTCTTCCAGCAGAAACCAGACACTGGCCCCCGGAATCTGCTCAGCCAACGGCTATTCATCACTTTTGAAGCTGCCTCGAATTCTTGTTGGAGGTAGGCTGTCCTAAATACGTAAGAATAATCACCGGTTCTCCGGGAGGCGGAGAAGTCCAAGCCAGGAGATGTGCGAGGTGGCCCAGCTGGGATGAGTTCCTGCGCGGAGGGAGGAGGGACTCTCCTCTGGGGCCCCCGGGGTCGTGTGGCTTCTGTGTCACCCTCATGTCAGCCTAACGAAGGGCTGTAGACAGATGGGATCCAAATGTCTACTATCAAAACACGTGCATTTCACGACCTGTGGGCTGTCACTTCACTCGAGGAACGGAGAATAGGATGCACAGGAAAAAAATTAACAGGGACTTTTAAACAGAGACTTAAACTGGCTTCCTCCGTCCTAGAACGCAAATAAATTACACGGCAAGGCAATGTGTACGTAAACACGGACCGAGGAAATATCTGTACTCTGTATTAAAGGTACTGTTTGCTCTGTGTGTGCGTGTTTAAAAAATATTTTTAAGTATT